ACACCTTTTCATTTCAGGAATCACATTGTTTTCCTCCATACAGCTTCAAATGCTAAAGATCTTTCCCCTCCCAGAGAGTATTATCTGCAGCTAGATTTATCTTGAGCTAACACATGTTCAGCTAAATTTGTGTCTCTGTCAGGCTCTGGGGCAGCAGGATTGCAGTGAGGTGCAAATGTTGAGCAGAGCAGAGCTCTATCAGCTTTACTTCCAGAGCTGCAACCCACAACGTCTTCACTGAAATGCTGGACAAGAGTGATGCCTGAGGGAACGGTCCTGGAGGTCTCCAGTAAGAATACCTGAGGAAGATGGCAAATTACTTGTGACAATTATGAGATGACTCAAGAAAGAATGAAAAATTCATCCACCCTAGCTAAGACAGATAACAGTAGTTTTAATCTGGGTTCTGCCCCATTAATATATTAGCCTGAAAATACTACCTCCGCTTGCCGTAGAAGGACATCAACTGAAGGAATAAGATTAAATGTCATACTCAAGCCTAAAGGTGGAGAAATGGAGAGAGAGGGCTCTAGATGCCTGGTGTTTATCTCTCTGTAGTCTTTAATAAATGCCTTCCAAGTGGCAGAGAATTCACACATGAATGACAGTTACTAAGTGGTGTTTCTTAAACAAAGACATACAACTAAACTGCTGCTGCAGTGTATGGAAACTGATTTCCCAAGCAGAAGCAATTTCCAGTTTCATGCATGCTGAAATGAGATCACTCCCTCCATCTGTGGTTCAACCATGGAAGCTGTTGTCCTTGTTTCCTGAAAGGCTGGCTGCTCATAGAGTGGCAAGGGCCAAGGGTGATTCAGCATGGCTTCATAATGCTAGGAACAGACTTCTGTAAGATCAATAGTTCAGGAATTAATTTTAATCTCCTGGTCTAAGCAGAATGCTTTTCTATTTTACTTTAAGGCATGTAGGATGTAATAGTAGTAGGCTATTATCCTAAACCTCTTGGTCTCCTAGACTGCAATGAATGTCAAAACCAGTGAGTTAGTCTAACAGTCACATAACTGTGATCATTAGAGTTACAACTGTCAGAGCTGAAAGCCAAATAGAAAATGTGCAATAACTTCAAGCTGCCATTCAGATACTTCATCTTCCTCACAGCCCCTGTGGCCTATACCAGTTGTAACAGGCTGAGAGATGGCTTGCTGCACTCACCCTCTCTGCAGAGAAATGTGACTGCAGTCACTCTCAGAAGAGGTAATCTCTATGACCTGCTGATGAATAGGCCACTTATTTATAAGCAACCTATCTTTTCAAGTGATGCTGCTGTACATCCGCTTTAAACAAGAAGGATTTCCTTTTCTGATATGGAATGAGTAACTTTGATGACTCTGCACAGGCAGCCAGGCCCATATAAAGCAGAGGAGGAAATTTCCCCACCCAGTTTTCCCTCCTTCCTCTACCATACATGGAGAGGCTCTTGAATCCTAGGAACTAAAAATAGTTCAGCAGATAAGTTTAAATTAAGATATTTTGAAGCACTTCTTTCACTGACACAGTGTGATAGCAAGTTAGGAATAGACTGCTGTTCCTGGTATGTCTGTCCTATTTCCAGTTGTGGAAAAGGGTGAGACTTTTGTCCTGTGAGATGATTTACAATGGGGCTGAAAATACAGTGCACCCCAGAGAGCACAAGTGGCTGAGAAGAAGCAACCCTGGCTACAGATGGATCTCAAGCCTCCAAAGGTGGGGTGAGAAGAGAAGGACACTGCAGAACCTATGAGAAACCAAAGAACCTCACCTGCAATTACTTGTGGCAACTATAGTCTGATTCTCCCTGCCACAAACTCCCACTTTCCCCCTGAAACTGATGTAGATTTTTAAATTTCTATTTTCTGTCTAGAGATAGGAAGTAAAGAACAAAGTTATAGAAAACCCAAGAGTGACAGCAGTAGCAGCGTTACTGAGATCCTTCAGGGCAACAGAGCAGTGAAGAATGTCAGTTGCTACTCTTGGTGATGTGCAAAAGAATTATTATGTATCTCTGTTCTTTTTCAGGGATTTCAGTTATTTATATAGAGGTTTGATGTTTCTAAATACTCATCTAGAAATAATGTACCCTCAATTCTGTTTGCTTGAGGTGCAGGGAGAAGTGGGAAAAGGAGACAGTTTCTGGAGCTTAAAAATGACAGTGAAAAGTTAGAAAGAATTAAAACAAAGGACAAGAGAAATACCCCCAAAATTGAAGTAAACATCAGAGCAGGTATGAGAAAGTAGTACATTCTAGGAAGAAAGGATAAGGAACCAGCTGGGGGTCAGTCCCAACAAAACAATTTTTCACATTCTTATGGTGCAGTGGTGGGAGCTGAAGAAGGCTGTGGCAAGGTATTTGCAGATGCACTGGGAATATATTTAACTAGTGCTTCAAAAGGCAGCCATCTGCAAAGGTATTCACAGTGGCTCTTAAATGTTTCCTGCCTATATATCGATACTTAGGCTCTCCCAACTGATAGTCCAAGTCACTTCCTGGAGCTAACTCAGGTTTTAAAACTCTGCCTGACTTTTAAACCATTATTTCACATTCCTGTTTAGCAAAACCCAGGAGTGTCTGTGTCCCAGTATAGGGTGGTGTGCTGTGGATATTGCTGAGGAAATGCAGAGGAACAGAACTTTAAATGCTGCTGTCTCCATGGGAGCCTAGAGCAGCTGTAGGAGCTGGAGCAATGCTAGCCCAGACATCCTCACCAAGGCTGCACCTTTCTGGCAAGAGATGCTCTACCGTGTCCCCCCATGCCAGTCCAAGCAGCCTCCCATGGAGCCAGGGCAGCTCAGCAGTCCCCTCTCCTTCACCTGTGTTTATACTGTGTTTATTCCAGGTATGGGTGTTCTTTAGCTCTGCTCACCACATAATGAACATCTTCCGTCTCTCTTCCTTATTTGCTTGCTTCCCTCACAGTCACTGGCTGCTGAACTGGACTTCTGGTTTAATGACTGCTGTGCTCCAGCATGATCAGGATGTAGAATTTTGCTTTCTCATTTACTGGTAAGATCCCTAACACAAGAAAACATCCTGTGAGTTACCATCCCTGGCAGAGTAACTCCTACAGAAGGACACCCTTGGCCAAACATAAACCAAAAAGAGGGTGAGCAGTGAAGGAGTGATAGGAGAATTAAAATATTACCTCAGTCTGCAGTGCTTCTGGGAACCCTAACTCCAGCTGGCAATATTATTGCATCATCTCCTGCCATGGCATATTATCTTGCCATCAGAAATGCTCTGAATTAAATACATAGTTTTTCTGGGATCCCTCTGTACTGATGCAGTCCATGGAAATAAGTCTTGATGTAAAGCAATTGCTCTTGTACTGCTAGGACTATCAGGTGGCAGGGAGCAGCTGAAGATGCCTTTCTCAACATTCACCTCATGCTTGGACATCATTCAAAGGGGGAAAAATAGCTTCATCTTTAGGGAGGCTGAGATTGCTGATTTCTTTCCTGTCCTAAGGAAAATGAGAGCTAAAGACTAGGAAGAAGTAGAGCAAGGCACCAGGTCAGGTGCAGTGCCCAGCAGAGCAAGACATAAGGGACCCAGCTGAGCCTCCCCTTGTAACACTGGAAAGAGCAGCAGGACAGTGCCCTGTCTGAAGGAAGCACCTAGGTTTGAAAGTTACCTCTACAGGAGTCCTTAGGCAGAACAGATAAAAGAATATTTAGCCCAAAGATAAAATAGAGGTTTAGTAATTGCCTTGCAGTATTACCTGTCCTGGGTAAAATGTCTAGCATTTGAAGCAGAGGATCAGAAGTTAGAATCCACGTGTCTTCTTTCTGATTCAGTCTAGTAACTTTTCTGTGTCTCTTTTCCATTCTGTCACTTTTTTAAAGTCACTTCTTTAAAACTTTATTTCCAGGCTCACAGAAATGTAATGAGTTATAGTACACTGAGGTACATATATGAAGATAAATTTATGCTCACCTTGTTTTTAATACAACTAGATAGATCACAACTGTGAAATCAGATAACACTTTGTTCTGCCCTCATATTTGTGCTTGAAATACTCTATGTGTATCAGAAATCAGGAAAGATATTCACAATCAAGGTCACTTCATGCCCAACACCCATATACTACACTACATTTTTCAGTACTTTATTCCACATGGAAAGGTCCTGACTATCAGGGATGGCGCTACAAGGAACTGTTTCAAGCTAATTTACCAACTCCTGCCTGTCCTTGCTGGCAACCATCCACTGCCAACACCTAAAAAATGATAAATTCTACCTGAACTCACCAGCTGCTGCCAGCCAGACATGAGCATCCTTGCTGGAGTGAATGCCTGCAGGGAAAGTTGATGTAGAAGAGTCCCTCCCTGCACTGGACAGGGTGAGAGAAATAAATCTGTTTCTGACAAGACTCTTTTGCAGCTATGCTCTCTACAAATGATCTCTCATCATCCTTAATTGTGTAATGCTGCATGCCTGTGTGTCCATGGAGAGCTGAAGTGAACAGAAGGCTCCTTGGGGGCCTCTTGAAATGAGTGTTCTGTGCTTAACACACAGGTAGCTAAGGGGCAAACTCAGCTGCCATAAGATCTCTGGAAAGCCAGGGAAGTTTAACCTCCAAGTTATTTCCTGACACCATCATGTCACCTGAGTCTTCTTAGCCCAAAGTGTTGAAGAAACCAGTGACATCCATCCTTTTTCCAGCACATAGAGGTACTAGAGCACATCTGGTTGAATGGCTGCAGCCTCCGTGAGTGACTCCCAGACCCCTGACTCCAGATTCTTTACCTTATCTGTTTCTTGGACGCCTTGGGTGAGGAATAGCCCAGGGCCAAAGTTACCTTTTCTATTTCTTAGGATGGCTTGGGTGAGGAATACCCCAGGGCCAAAGCTGCAGCAGGAAGCCCTGGTCTCTGCAGGGCAGATTTGACTCCTTTGTAAACCAGAGGAGCTAACCCACCTGGCGTTTGCAGGGATCAGGCTTTTGGAAGGAGCATCCAGCACAAGGAAAAGGCATGGGTGAATGGCGGTTTAGGGGACTTACTGGCCTGCTTGGCTTTCTCAGTATAAGTGGTGGTCAGGTCTTCATCAATCGGGTGTTCCACCGGCCCCACCATGGGGATGAGGTGGCGCTCCGCTCGGATCGCCTTGGTGGCGTGGGGCAGGAGCATCGCCTCTGGAGAAGGCTCCCGCCCCTCTGCTGACGGCGGCCGCAGCTGTCCCTCGCTGTCCGAGAACGGAGTGTCCGTGCGGCTGCCAGGCAGGCACACAATCTCCCTCTTGGCCACCCCGCCGGAGCCGGCGGGCTCGGCTCCCCCCTGTGCCGCAGCCTCGGGCATGCTCTCGTAGCCGCTCTGCTCGGACAGGGACACCTCGTCCTGAGGCGCGTCCGCCCTGCCGCTGGTGCTGTCCGGCGGGGAGCGCGGGCTCTTCCTGCGAGCGCGGCGCTGCTTCTCCTGCGCCACGTTGTCAGCGTCGCTGTCGGTCTCACCATAGTAGGCCTCGCTGTCCGGTGGGGACGTGAGGCTCTCCAGGTGCCTCTGTGACCTCCATGGCTGCGAGGGCTGAGTGGTGGCTGGGGCTCCGGCTGCTTCAGAGCTGAGTAACTGTGCTGAGGGGCTGGGCGCGGATGGTGGAGAGAGCACTCGCTGCCCTGGAGAAGGGGAGCGCTGGAGCCACGGGCCAGTCTGGTCCCCACCAACTATCCTGTGGGGAGAAGGAAAAGTGGAGAGTGAGGTTTGGTTTGTGCAGTTAAACTGGAAGGAAACCCTGGAGTGAGAGGGCTATGGACTGGGACATGCAGGTGTTATAGGACAGTGTTACAGGTGTTTTTCAGGTGGTACAGACACCTGAGGCATAGATGCCAAGGACAGACTTATCCCTGACATCAGCTATGTGCTCTCATTCTCATTTTCTGCTTCACAGCTCTATGGAAACCAGGTGTTAAACATTCAAAAATCCGAATGCCCTAAAACCATAAAAAATCTACCAAGCTTAATCAGCTCCCCAGGCATTTCTCCTGGAGAGCTGAATTCCTGCATAGCAAGCATTCCCCAGGACAGTGAGACCAACCCTTCAGCCTGCAGCTTGTCAGCAGAGAACGGCTGGTGCTCAGCTATCACACTGCACTCCAGCTGCTCCTGCAGCTGAGACTGTGTCAGATCTGCAGATCTGGCACCCCCAAACTGCTTTAGTTCAGACTGAAATCCCAAGAAGTCAGTGCTATTTGTTTGCTCTGATCTCTACATGGGAGTAAATAGCAAATACTTAGGATATAAAGGCTCAAGCCTTGGGGATAGGACTATGGTATCTGGTGGTAGAAGACCACTCTAACATTTAGCCTGCTCACTGTGGAGCTGCTTCACAAGCTGTCAGTTACCTGGGTTTTGACAACCATATGCAGTCATGCTGGCCAGCCCAATCCATGGTGGCATTTGCCTTTGGTTTAGACATAGCAATTTCAAGCCTGTAAGACATCTGGAGGGATGACTGGAGTAGGTGCCAGACAGACTGAGGCAGTTAACCCTGCTACTGGCTTCCAGAGGGAAAGAGAATTGGCTGAGCTGACTGAAAAAGAACCCAGTCTATCTTCCCTGTCCTCAAGAGTGAGTCTGAATTTCCACAGCAGTTTGACTCCAGCCTGCACAGATGGAGCCGGGAACTTGTTATTTCTCTTGTCAGACTCACCAGGGCTTATAAGAGCTATAAAGGAGTCCTATGTATTTGCCTTCTGGACATGCATACCATGAAGCCAGGCAAGACAGCATTGCCTCTGTAAAGCTGTGCAACTCATGACTTGGATCCCAGTTCTAAACTGTGAAAAATTTTAATTTATGTCAAATGCAAACTTTTTGTAATCTAAGGGTGGGAGAATTTCTCTGGCAGTTTATTTTTTAATACTATTTGCCATTATGAAATCTCACTGGGGAGCAACCTCAACATTCCACAAGCGAAACAGAACAGTCCCTCCTCTTCTTTAAACACTTGATCAGGTAACTGAGAAGCATAACTGCTTGTAAGCCAGTTTCTCTTGTTCTGTACTGTCAGGTAAATGTCTCTCCCTCTTTTTCTGAAATACACACACTCCAGAGTCATCCAGCTACCTCTCCTTTCTGAACAGGAATGATTGGTGTTTTCTCTGTGAATGTAGAGATGAAGTAGGAATAGACATGTGATCAAGAAAACAACATTTGATGATTTCTCCACTACTCCAAATGAAACCAACTGATTTCATTATTTCCAAACCATTCAGTGTTGGCTCCATCCAGAGGATGCAAGAAGCCTGCCTTTGTCACTGTTAATTCAAAGTGTGCTGATCTTGACTGATTAAAATTTGCCCAGGCACCTGTTTGCTGCAGATAGGCTCCAATGGTGTGAGATAAGGCCTTGGCAGGGGACCAGGAGCTATTCTGGACACCTTGTATAGAACTTACCCCTCCCACTTACTCACAGTTAGGGTATAGAGTGAGCACATCAGAAGGCACCAGCACTTTTTCTGAAACCAAGGGGAAGATCCTCCATGCTCAGGCTTTCCTTCTCTGAGCACTGCCCACCTCTGCTCCTGCTTTATGGATGACAACAACCAGCGTGGCTGCCCCTTCCCACTGCTCACAGTGCTCTCTCTGTCTTTTCAGGACTGCAGAAGATCACATCTCCCAGCCTCCTTCACCAAGGCCTGATTTTCTGAGGGTGACTTCTGTTTAGGCAGTAGTGTGGACTAGCTAGGAGCTCACCCAGCTTTGCTGCCTTCACCTTTATAGGATTACTCATTTATAGCTTGGGCTGCATCCAGCATGCACTGACGCACTGGGTTAACTTAGCACAGGGAGGACAGGGAACATTACTGGGACTATTTTTTGTCCATAAATTTGAGCTTCATCTCCAGTATTCCCCTGAACTAGATATTTCTTCCCATGAAAAAGGGACCTAGCCACACACCTCTCATCTTTGTAGGAGTCAGTATACAGACTGTTGGACTACAACAGCCCACTGTAAGACAGGGCAAAACATTGAGATGTCAACATGTTAGCCAGGTTAGGACATGGGTAAGTCCTCCTAGTACACCTTGCAGTATGGTGAAACCAAAGGCTTCCTGCTTGCCTTGTTTCTGCTGGGTGTGGACAGCTGGTGTACTGGATGAAAGCGCCCTACTGCCTGCACTGTCACAGCACTGGCACTTGGGAGCAGATTACCTTTTCACACGGATGTTGAGCATGCCATTGGAGGAATCGATGATCTGCATGGCATTAGCATGGGACAGGCCAGCACATGACTTCCCATTGATAGATACTAGAACATCATTTTCCCACAGGCCTCCACGGCACGCTTTGCTTCTCTTTCGAATCTGAAAAAGCAGGAGAGAGGATAAGGATGAAGGGAAGAACAGCAGCTATTTAGTGCAGTTGCTGGCCCTTCTATTGCTCCATTTCTCAAAGAATAAAATAAGCCCTAAGACTTACTGTGCTGACAGGTTGGAGTTGGATGAGCCCTGGCTATGCCTTTTGGTCTCTGTATCCCTGTTAATTCCAAGAATCACTCTGCTGAACATAGGCCTGACCTGCCCACCAACTCCGTTGAAGTTCTTTAGTGCAGATGAAATACTCAAGAATATCTACATGGTCTTCTCTTCTTGTTCCTTGTCTCCTAAGTTGGTTAGGGAGTCTGTGTTTCAGAGAAGGAACAGACCATGCCTGCACATGTCCATGTGTCCTTCTGCATGCCTCTACTGTACTTCCTTGGTATGATCCCTGACTCATGCAGAGCCTCTGCAATCCTCAGGGAAGCTGACACTGGGGAGAGGTAGCAGTTCTGAGGCATATTCTGGTGTGAAGCATTCCTGCTCCAATGGCTTTGGTCAGTGTATTTCTGGACATCTGCATCAGGCTATATGGTGTCCTGTTACACAAGTGTAAACTTGGAATAAATCTTTAGCCTTAACAGGAGTTGTGCAAGATATGCATTGCTTTATCTCAGAAGGGAGTCAGAGTCACTGTCTCCAGGCAAGCTCCTAGATCTGTCCCCTCGTGGCCATCTTGCACCAAGTGTTTATTCTCCCTTTCATTCTGTCATCCATGAGTTAAACTTCTTACCAACTCAGCCTAGCCTTTCTGCTAGGGCAAGCAAGAAAGCAAACCAAATGCCCACTCAGCCAAAAACCACTGATCTCTCCCATATAGGCAAGCAATGGGGATAGTCTTGTAGGACAGCTTGGCACCCATAATGTACTCATTTTTCACATAGAAGAATAGCTATGTAAAATCACTGCGTCAGAGCAAGTAAGGAACAAGGTACTATTACACTCTATTTGTAGATTCTTCTACAATATTTCTTCAGATCTCGCAGTTAAGTGAAAGACAAATCAGTGCAGAGCTGTTTAACAAAGGGTGCAGTGAACAGGCTGTGTCAGTAACACTCTACAGGGCGCCTTTGTCCATATCTCACAGCCTTGCTGCTTGAGCCACCAGACTCATCTATAACATCATACAGCTACTTTGCCCACACTCTCATGGCAGCTTCAGGAAAGAGAAGGGAATATTGGGAGGATTGCTGCCCTATCATTGTTGCAGGAGCAGCAGGGGAGCAGGAGAGGAGAGAGCTGGAGCCCTAAGGAAGTCCCATGGCCTGAATGGCTGGTCTTGGTGGCTCAGGCTCCCTGCACCTATGGGGTGTGTGAGTGCCTTGGGCTTGACCCTGCTGGCCTGTGTTGAGCAGACAAGAGCAACACTCCTCCCAGGTCAGCCTGTCAGCAGGACTGAGAGGTGTTGGGGGAGAAGATGGAAAGAGGAGGGCTCTGCTTCAAGTTGTTTTTGTGTTCACTGGTGCTTTATCACTCTGTAGCCTTTCCAACTTGACCCCAAATCCTGCCTGCATGCTTAAAATAGGGACTGGCTCATCCCAGCTGCCACATCCATCAGCCTCTGTCATTTTAGTCCTTTATCTCCCTCCTTGTTAATATAAGCCTGGAATGAGCATGTGTAGGTCTGTAATGAACCACTGCAGAAGAACCACTGTTACAGTATAAATGCTGCTTCCTGATACTTCATCCAGATGCAGCTGTTAACTGAGAAGGTAAAGAAGACCCATTTTCCAGTGCTGCCTACTGACACAGCAGCTAATGAAGAGAGTTAGGAAGTTGAAAAGAGGTTAAAAGGAGGCTTTCCCAGTATTCCCCAAAAGGCCAACTGCTGCTCCATAGCCAAGTACTTGGTGCTTAGCACTGGATGGGAACATACTTACTGAGTATCTCTCCCAGTTGTAAAGCATGGGGATTGGGGGTTAAAGGCTGTCAGCAGGTGCTCAGAGCATTCCTCACATGCCATGGTATTCCTCCCTGCTCACTCCAACCAAGGATGTAGGCTGGTGACCAGCCAGAACAGCAACAGTAAATTTTCTGCAATTCTCTAGTCCCTCAGTACTGCAAGTCTTTGCAGGCAACTGTTTGGGGTTCCCAGGCAGGCAGGACCAGGCTGTTCTCCCAACACTGCCTGATGCTGTTTCAGGTACCTCTATACCAGAGAAGACTGGTGGGACTCAAGCAGGCCACGTGGGCTGACAATCATGAGCAAGCAATGCATTTCTCTCATGGTTTGTGAGGATGCTGGGTCTGGCTTGGTCTGTGCTCAAATCTTACTGGACTGACAGAAAGTATATACACTAAAGCAACTATTGGTATTTCAGTGCTCTGCAATCCAGGAGGGAGTTTTCCATGTCTCCATTCCTTTCTGGGAAAACAGGACCAGGTCTCTTCTAGTGCAGGAAGAGACGTATGGAGTCTGAAAGTAGCATGTGTCTGGCTCAGTCTTCCACAGATTTATAAACCCTCCTTGGAAGCTTATGAATTTGCTCCTGTTATCAGAGGGAAATGAACTATCCACAGCTTCATTTTTACACCAAACCCATACCCCACTGCATTTGCCAGGGAGGAAGGCAAAGGGGTTAAGCAGAGAAAGGACAGGACAGGACTTAATCCACAGTCATGACAGCAGGGTGCAGTGTACTGGAGGCTGCAGAGCCTCTGGACAGAGACCAGCACAAGCCTGCCAGTTTTTACATGACTGCCAGTTCTGTGCTGCAGAAACTTTAATGGCAACCCATAACCTGCCCATCTCGAGTACAGCGAGAGCAGCACTGAGCCTTTGAGGCCCCAGGCCAGGGTGGCTGCCCAGTCCAAAAGCCAGGCTCCCTGCCCATCCTGAAGGTCAGGCTGCCCTCAGGATCAGCCACATGCTCCCCATGTCCAAAAGATGCCCTCTCCTGGGCACCCAGTGAGCCACATGAAGTGTCACTAACAGGAGCTTCTGCTTAGGCTGCAGAAAGCTTGGAACAGCTGATCTGAAGAGGTGGGAAAAGTTGGAAAAAGTGGTATTTCAAAGAGAAAACCTCTCTGCTTGCTGTAACACATACCTTAAGAGCTTTCTTGTGCAAATGAGAAGCAGCACTGACAGACTGACAAGTAGTAAGGGTTGGCCCTAGAACTGGCCCTGGGGGATTGCACTGTCCAACCTTCTAGCACATACTGGTGAGGATTGACCTCTCCTTTTGTGTGAGAAGCCCCACAAACTCTGTGGGCCTGTTGTAACTGACTGTTAGACTTTCCACTCCATGCCTCAGCAGACACACTCTCCCATGGCATATTCATGTCAAGGTATGTCCTGGTTAGATTTCAGATGGGTTTAGGAAATCCCATATAGTTTCATAAGACTCTATAGTTTCAGAGTCTTATGGATTTATGCTACTGGAAATAGAAATCTGTGTGAAAAACTGGAAGAGATTTACTCAGAAAATTGTCCATCTCCCTGCCCTCTCAGCAGGAGATATATAGTGACAAAAGAGCTCTTGTCAGAGAGGTTTGGGTGTTTGCAGTACTATGTACATGCACATACAAACATGTTTTTTTCATTACTTTGCCTGCTTTCTCCCATTGATTACGTTCAATCAGACAAAGGACAGAGGCAGCTGAGACAGAAAAAAAAAAAAAAGAAAATGGTAAGGCAATAATTGAGGAGGAAAGGAATAAGAAGAGGTGTTGAAAGGAAGGTCAGTGCTAGGAGAGGCCAGGAAGGCCAGGGCTGAGATCAGGCTGTAAGAGTACAGTACAGGTTTCCTTGTACAGCCCTAGGCAGACAAAAGGACATGCTGATTGTTGACGTGTCTTGGGGAATTCAGCCTAGCTTTCAGGAACAGAATGCAAGAGAGGAGAGGGTCAGATGCAACTTGGCAACATCTGTCCTTCAGTAGCGACTATATTTAGATAGTGGTATGTGGGGGCTGAACACATGCTGGGATGCTAAGAATAGAGTAATCCTGATAGTAACTCAGTGGCTTCACATCTTGCCTCAGTACAGCCCAGGGAACTTGTCTTGAAACTTTGCAACCACTCTCCCTGCTGGCCAGCACAGCTTCTCTGTAATGAAGTAGGCTGTGGGTAACTAGAAGTGGTTTGCAGTGTAGGCTCATGTCATCCATCTCTCCCCTTGCCTGCCCAAACCACCTCCCACTTCCTCTCACTGGGAGAGCTCACCCTATAAGGTAGGAAGATAGATTTTATTATCAGTCTTCACTTAATTTCCTACAATCTTTCCAGCAGAAACCTTTTAGCCTCAGTCTGAGTCAGAATTTAATACTGAATACAATTCACCTTCCCACCCAATGCCCTTCCACTCACTGATTATGCATCTCTCAATGAGCCATCCCCTTCCCCCAGAAGCTACAATGACATGGGGTCCCATACTCCATGCAACCTGGCAGTCTTTAAATTTCATTCCCAGCCTTCTGTGATATGCAATCTTGTCACAGAGTTCTCATGGAGAGATAACAAATTACTTTTTGTGGTATAAAGCACTACCAAAATGGAGTGACTCAAGCAAGAGCCAACCAGAATGTGGGCCTGCTCCTCCTAGAACTTCCTGCTCAAACCACAAACAGAGCAGTTGCTAGATGCAAAAGCAAAAACAAACACCCTCCATCTCTTCTTCTTTCTGAAGATGTGTATTCATATCATTTTGCTTATTGGGCCAGTTTGGCTTTCATTTAAGGCCAGGGTTTACTCTTTTTGTGTAAGGAAGGATAATCCTGTGGCTAGAGAGAGGAGATGGCTAGAGTGGGTAGATGGCTAGAGTGGGATTCAGAAGACCTGGATGACTTTTTGTGTGACCTCAGAGAAGACACTCAGACTGTAGCCATAAAAGGACTGTGGCCTGGAAATAGGACATTTTCCAACAGTCTTTCTTTATCTCAGTTGCCTACCTGAACACAGAGATCCAGTGAGATACTTTCACTCTGCCTAATTATTAAGTAGCAAATAACATCACATCCTCATGCCAATGCCATGTTTTTATTGGAAGC